AGAAGTGGAAAGATGTAAACTTTGCACATATGTAGTCACATGTTATGTGGTAGAACTATTTGAAGGATGAAGTAAAGACTCCAGCTGTGGGAAAATCAGGGTTTTGGAGTCAAAGGTTCCAGGGGTTTATGTCTGAGATCTTGTGCAAGCTCAGTGTTAACTTGCTTGGTGCAGAGTCTGGGACAAAAAAATCTCTGCACAAGTAAGAGCCTGTGAGGCGTTGCAGCTGGGAGCAGTGGGGATTCACTCAGAGCAAACCCCAGAAGAATGAAGACAGGCAAGGGACTTTCCAGTGCACTTGAGGGATGCCTGAATGGGGGACCTTGATACACCTTTCCCTCAAAATTTAACATATCCTTCTAATAATGTAATTGTACTATTGTGGGAACCTTGTGACGAGGTTTCTCCCTGGGTCTCTTTTTCTGCCATGAGTAACATTACTTGAGATTTACTTTTGTTGCTATATTTTGTTAAAGGGTTTTCCTGTTTACCCAGTGTGCATGGGACATGGTGAGGTAGATTAAGACCAGAACTTTGTTAATACCAAACAATTAAACAAGAAAATGTGGAACACACCTTTGGGAAAGCATCAGTCATTTTAACTACACACAAGTTTATTGTTGTTGTTGGTTTTTTTTTCATACAATCACAGCATTGCAAAAATCCTTTAATCATATTCCATTTTCAGTGTCTAGGATTTTTTAAAGATTTTTCTTGATTTTTTTTTTTTTTTAAAACCGGCTTTTTGCTTAAGTTTTTATTCTATCCCTTACCACTATTTTTTTGTGCCTGGTTTTAGAATTGTCCTTGTCTCTACACCCACTAATGCCATTTCCTGCTTTGAAAATGAATAATAGTTATCTACTCTTTGAATACAACTTTATCAGCACCTGTAGCTGCTTTTGAGCACATATCTTCCAGTGATACCATAATTATAGAATTATAGAATGGTTGGAGTTGGAAAGCACCTTAAGATCATCTAGTTCCAACCCCCTTGCCATGGGCAGGGACACCTCACACTAGACCGTGTTGCCCAAGGCTCTGTCCAACTTAGCTTGAACATCACCAGGGATGGAGCAGTTGCCACTTCTTTGAGCAACCTGTTCCAGTGCCTCACTACCCTCACAGTAAAGAACTTCTTCCTTGTATCTAACCTGAACTTCCCCTGTTTAAACTTAAAACCATTGCTCCTTGTCCTATCACTAAAGTCCCTGATGCTTTATTTACTGGTTCTTTACTTACTGGTTCCTTACCTACTAGACAGAAAGTACTGTAGAACTTTGCCTTGGTCAAAATACATAGCATCTACTGTTTATTTCTCATCTGGCAGGGGCTTTACACTGTCAATGACCTAATATGTTTTTGAAAAATCAAAATTTTAGTAACCTTTAGCTTTTAAGGATTCAGAAATAGATAGTTTATTACAGTTGTTCAATCTAGACATCTAGAAAGATTAGAAGACAGAAAATTTTGTCTTTTTCCCTTTTCTAGAAATGGTAGACCTTCCCTTGCTGTAGTCTCCTGCGGCCTTATGAGATTATTTTTTTTTAATGACTGCCATATTTCAAAGGTTCCTGAAATTAATATTTTTACATGTGTAGCTTGCCCTTCAGGTAACTTGCACCCCTTTAAACATCATGCAGATAATCCAATACTTTTGATAACTTTTGACAGTTATATGCTAGGGACTACAGAGAGAGGAGAAAGAGAAGTACCAGAGCAAAGTTGCATCATGATATTTCCATATATATAACTTACATATATATAACTTACAGCGCTGAGAGACCAGAAGTCATTCCTTAGGCTGGTGAGGCTTTTTAGTTTTCTACAAATAAGCACAGTTTACCCATGTGAAAACACAGTAATTCCTTAAGCATTCTGTGTTGAATTTCAGTAGGCCTCTGACCTGAATTGTCTGACCCCATATAAATGTTTCTTTTCCTGTTTTCTGTCCTGTACTTTGCCCTGTAGTCTTACCTTCATGTCCAAATTAATTTTGGGCATGTTTGCAGAGCTGATTGCAGGCAGGCTTGAACTTTGTTTCCACTGGGAGCCAGCTGGCTGGTGGCCAGCTCCAGTGCTTGAGCTGATGAGCTGTATTTCTCAGCAGGTCCCATTAAATGCATCCAAGCACCATGCAGGCAGGGTCTCGGCTTGTAGTTCAAACACAGCTTGTGCCTACCTGGTTCAGAGAATCAGCAAGGAGAGCTCAGGCCTGTGCATTATTCCCTGGGGAGGAGGACTTTTATCTGAGCAGTCTCCCTCTTTCTGGAGACTCAAACAAGGAAGGCATTTAATAATCTTCTGTACTTATCCATACCAACTGTCATTTGAACCCCTTTCTGATATTGTAATGTTTGCATTTTGCTGGGATTTCTGTTTTGACCACCCTTATAACACATTATTGAAGCCTTTTGTTACAACTTATCATCTGCTTTGCTAACTAAACCTTATGGTCTAACTTTTCAGGGTTTATCTCCCTGATGCAGGTAGGCTTAGACTCCTTCTTAGTACCATGCACATTAATTTGTGCTTTTGGCATGATCTTTGTTACATGTTTAGTTGGTTTGAGATTACCAGTAGGCGATTACACTGGCCTGTCACTCCACTTCGTCTCTAAAGGTACTTGGACATTTAGCACAGTCTCTTTCAATAACTGCCATCTGCCATTTCTTTGTCTCTTGGTATACTTTCCTCAGAGACCTTGCTTGCCTTTTCTCTGAGCCTGCTGGCCCTTATGCTGCTGTACTCTTCTTTGCAGAATACCAGTCTCATCCTGCAGTTTCACTTCCAAGTACTACACAGCTGCAAAGTCTTGGTTATGTATTCTGTAAAGGGACAAAATCTATTTTATCTGTTCCCTCAAAAGTGTTGTTCAGCTTAAGAAGCAAAAAGTGTCCTTGGTGCATTTTCACACTTCTCAGCATTGGTCTGAACTGAGTCCCTCTGTTAGAATCGGTTCTTGCCACCGGAACACACCTTTTCATCCTTCAGAAAAGCCTTGGCCACGTTGTCCCCTAGTGAGCTAAAGTGACATTTCACGACCTTAAAGATCCCGTCCCCCTTCCCATATTCTGTTTAGTGCCCACACTCCCTTTGCCACTGATGTGTAAGTCCCAGTAAAAAGTTTAATGTTATTTTAACTAAATACTGAATCCAGTAACATCAGATGTACCCTTGATTGTTATGATGTCTTTGATTGCCTCTCAGAACTATTTACTGCAGTATTCTTGCTGGCTGGGAGTAACTTTTCCTTTATGTATGAAACAACAGGCTTATTCGTGCATCATAAACATATAGGTGTGAATATATAGTATTTCCTCATAGTTTCTGTGAAATGAATGCCCAAAGCAGTTGTGGAATTTGCTTAGAATCAGAAGACGGAATTTATTTTTTTAATCTTTGCTGGGATAGGAGTACATGTAATTTGTCAAGTGTATATATGTAATTTGTCTAAGTGTGTATGAGGAGGCTGAATATGGAATTTGCAGCAAGTATACCCATAATTGAAAGAATATCTGTCTCTCTACTTCCAAAATGGTTCTTCCCCTGTACCTTTCTCCAGACGTTCTTCACCATAACTGCTACTTTCCTGTGAATAAAACCTCAGCCCCAGCCACTTTCAGCTCAGGAGCTGCCTGAGCGGATATGGTTTATATGTATTTAGTAACCCTCACTGCATCTTTAGGGGTTTCTCCTTTTTACTTATACTGGTCACTTTGATTTCAGTGGCACCGCAAAGGAATAGTTCATAGGAGATTCATTCATTGCTGCTTCAAAGAACAAATTAATTTATGAGGAACACATCCTTTAAAGTTAACTTGTTTTGTTTTTTTTTTACCCTTTAACTCATCTTGGGTGCTACATAAATAGCAAGTTCTAAATTGCTCCTGTTAAAGTTGATGGGTCATTGTTACAAGAGAGAGAGGTTTCTCACAACATGCATTTAACCTGAGTAGGTGTGAATGTATCACCCTTTGCCCCTGTTGCTTTCCAGATTAACATTAAAAAGGTTTGAGGGAAGTGGGCAGCAAGAGAGGTTTCCATTTTTGCATCTGGGAGATCTTGGAGAAAAAAAACAGTAAGAAACAGAGTGAAGCAGAAATTTTTCCTAAGAGAAGCACCTGTGTTTTGAAATACCACCCAGACCGGTCCACGAATTTAATGAGATTGATTCAGCTGCTCAAATAAGATATAATTATCTGTCTATGCATGTATGTATATAAATATGTATGAATGTGTTATGTATAAAACACTATAATCCTTTATGTTTGATTAAAAACTTGCCATTTTAGAAAATAAGTTATTTGAGTGAAAAATGTCTGTATGGTCTTATATTCTTCATTTGGTAGAAGCGAATTATTTTAACAATACAGTACAGTTTTAATAAGCATAATGTTCAACTACTTATCAATACCTTTATCGGTTTTCCATTTTAAATGTCACATTTTATATCATGGTTGGTAAAAAATTAGAAAAAAAACAACTTCAACAGATGCAAAGAACTTTGACAACTTTGTGAAAAGAGGTTGTATTTAGTGGCCTTTTTTAAAACAAATCGAAACAAATAGCTCCTAGGAAAGAATATTGACTATTAATATATACTAATGAAACCTCTCCAAAATCAAGAACTGAATGTACCCCAAAATATCTTCTGTCTTTTCACTTTCTAGAACTGATTCTTCAGGACATGTAGGAGGTGTTTTGCTAGAGAAGATGAAAAAGACAAGCTTGCTACCTAACCTTGTGGCTTTTGTTCCCTTAATTTTAAGAATACAAAGAACACTTTGTTCTTTTTCAATGTTATTCTGACACTAGTGCAATAAACAAGCATACAAAAGTAATTTTCTGTTTTGGTGCATATTTCAAAATTGCCAAATTAACAATATAATAGATCTACTAGAAATGTAAATTGACTCTGAAAACCAGTATCAATCCAAGGACTGTATAATACTTGCATTGTCTAACTTGAGTTCCCTACTTTTTTGTTTTGTCTATAGACACCCTATTTTTGGCCATCAAATTGTTGGGAGCCGGAAAACACAGACTATGGTCAGTGTAGAAACCTTTCCTATTTCTCTCGGGAATTATGTATTATATGAATGAAGACATCATTGCAGTCTGTCTTGTTTAATCATCCCACTGTTAAAAACATAATTATATGTCATGTAATTCCTGTACAAGAATTGCTGATGTTGAAATGAATGTCATGTTACATTTTTTAAAGTTTATTAAAAGTTTGTTGAAGTCAAACTTGGAGTTGATTTGAGGGGAAAAGAAACAAAAAAGCCTCAAAAGTCCTCAAAACCTGCCTTGCCATTTACATCTGTTTGCTCCAGGAAGTGTAATTATTTACAGTAACAAAGTCTCAGTAAAGCAGAGGACACTTTACTGATGGTTGTGCAATAGGTATTTTCAAATTCAGACTCAAAGATATGCCTAGCTTAGATATCTTACATCTGATACAAACTGTGTAGAAAATTATTTATTATGGAAACTAGTATGGTTCTAATATTAGCTATATTAGAAAACACCTTGTTTATTTGTCTGTTTCTTGGGGTTTTAATCATAAATTAAACGCTATAATTACTGATGTGTGCTTAGGAAAATCTGGACATAAGAGTAAAGTATTACAAAAAACCTCAGAAAATAATTATAACAAAATTAGGTGCTGCTCCACACCAAATAGTGATATAATTTTTAAAGGAAATGGCTTATCTATGAACAGTCTCCTGTTCATTCTAATCTAGACCGTAAGTACACAGCTCATCTGAAGACCAGGTCACTTATTTAGATAACTAAGCATGTACATGATAGTTTACCTGTTTAAAAACTCAAACTTTGAAAGTCTCTATTTAAAGCTTTTTTGAAATTTAGGTATGTGTTCACTTGTAATATGGATTTATTCTCAGCCCTTGGGAGCTGAAAACTGCAGGGATGGATGGTTCCAATAGACGCTTCCTTCCTGCAGTGGACAGAGTTTAATTTCAGATACATTGCTAAACAAAACAATTTCAAGTTGAGACTCTCAGCAGAGCTGAGTGCATTCAATGTAGAGTTTGAAAACAGTGACAGTTTCCTCATCTTATAGAAGGAGGAAAATGTTAATCTTTCTTTATGACACTGAAATTTGGAGATGTCCAGCAAATTGTTATTGAAAGCTAGAGAGGAAGGGTAATCCATACCACATCTGAGTGATTAGCCACTCTATATGAGGAAATTAGTCTCTGAAGGAGAAATGCTTGATTTACCACTTATTACAGTGTTTTTCCTTTCCTTGAAACTGTTACTTGCTTTTCTCAGAGGGGCACTTCAGTATACTCTCCTAATATGTTAAAGATCAGAAAGTAATTTACTATGGTTTTAAGTGACATTAAGTTGTTCAGCTGTAATATGTGTTACATTACCAGGGGATTTTAAGAAATAACTATATGCTTAAAAGGTCTGAGCTTGAGATCAGGCTGGGAAAGTTTCAATTAATATCCTTTAAACTAAATTAGGAGAGATTAACTTTCTAGTCACAGCTGATGGCTGGACTGGAATTACACACCTTAGTCAGTAAATAGAAATCTTATACAATCTGTCCAGTTTTTTTTGCATACCAGAAATGCAGAATTAAATTTAGGATCAGTTTCTTCATCATGCAGGAAGGTGCCTTTGTTGGCAGTAAACATACTCATTTGAGAGCTTTTAAGATTTAAATATAAGTGGAAAAATATGTTGCAATTGGTGAAGTTAAGCTTTCCTGTTGCAGAGGGTTGAAGGAAAGGAGAGCCCTAACCCTGCCATCTCATTGCTCCTTCTGAGTCATGAGCCAAAGGTGCAAGCCTGTAAGAAACCCACCCGCAGTTCTGCCATGCAACAGGGGCAAAGCACTAGATCTACCTAAGGTGCCTGTGTGCCATTTGAATTGACTAATGCCAGAGCATTCACAGGAAAATAATTTTTTGAGACAACTTCTCAATACTTTTCTTATTAGGTTAGCATCTTCCCCACCCCAGAACTTAACATTTGTGTTGTGACCTGAGGATTTTTTCCTGATGCCTTTTCATGAGTATAAAGAGAGGGCAGATAAGGGGAGAACTGAATACAGCTGCTTGTGCAAATGGTGGCATAACTGGTGTAAACAGTATTCATCAGAGGAATACAGACAAATCAAGCAGATAATATTCAAGAATCCAATCTAAAGTAGGATTGAAAAAACTTAAGGATATTACATTTCACATCAAATACACTCCAAAGAGGTTCTGCAGGCTTCAGAGTAATTCTGTTACTTCCTAGAAAACAAATAGAATTTGTGTTCTTATAGATATGCAAATTCATTTCATACTTGTCATGTATTATGGTGTTCTGCAGTGCTTCCATTTTCATGGTCTTGTCCCGAACAAGCTTGAAACTACATCTCCTAAAATTAATGGCTGCCGCAGGCAATAGGAGTCTCTCAAGGCCAGCAAAAAGGAGGCTTTCTCTGTAATTTCCCTGTATCAAAGTTATTAACAAAGCAAACCACTTTCTTTGGCATTGACCTGATTTTACAAATCTTAACAAATACACTACAATTTCATTTTAATTTAAAAACTGCTCCCAACCATTACTCAGCCATAGGTGGGCTACTGTCCAGAATGTAGCATACTGCTGGAAAAATAATGAATTTTAAACTCGAACTTAAATGAGATTGAGGTATTGCCAGAGTTAAGTCAGAAAGAAATAATCTTTATATCTTTGTATAGCATGTTACTATCTTTTCTAAACTGTAATTTCTTGTTCCACATGAGCTTGCAATGTCAAATATTTTCATTAAAAGAGATGTCTCTGTAGAAAATGTGACCAAAAGAGAAAACAAGAGTCTTCCAGAATGTCAAGAAGCTGCATGCCCATTCTCATAATAAAGCTATGTCTTGGTGGCAAAAAAAGGGCTTGAATTAATTTATTGTATGTCAAAGTGAAAAACTGTAACTTTTGGGTTTGATTATAACCATCAAAGTATTGACCATCTGATCATTCTGAGGTTACTAAGAAGCTGTTACTTTTCACTAAGTGCTGAAAACATCCCTCCCTTTTTCTTGAAAATCATGCTTTAAGAGACCTCAAGAGAGATGCCTCAAATTCCAAACAATTTTTTTAAAGGCAGTTTCTGAGGTTCCATCTGTTGAAGATATCCTTTTTAATGCCAAATGTCTTGGAGTCCACCCATGCAAGACATGCTGTTTTCTATAGAATCCCATTGCTTTCAGTAGGATTTTATTAATGAAGTCTGCATATTTATAATAATTATTTATAATAATTGATAATAATAATGCCAGTGTAATTCAAACCACTTTGCATTTTCTCTGAGTTAAGTCATGTTCCTGAATTATGATTTGGTTTTGTGACAAACAGAATTTGATCCCAGTTCAGAAAACTGGCTCTGGAAATGAATGCAGCTAGTGGCTGAGCATAATGTACCTGTAATCATCTCTTTTCTTACAGATGTACTTTTGTAACTGTAGATTTTTTTTTTCTGGCAGATCAAAAGTAGTTCATGTCATTAAGAATTATTTACCTATGGAGACTTATTAAGCCCGTTGCCTCTCAGAAAGGAGAAATATAACGCCAAACATGAATTTCTTATTCCATATGCATTTGGCCTCAGTTCTCATGGGACTTGTCAGGTTCTCTTGGAAGTTTAGTGGCTTACAGCTGTTGCAAATTTGAGAAATTCAATTTCTTACTGTTCTCTTTTTTTGAATGAGATAAGAAAGGTTAGGGAAAAATTCAATTCACAAAAAAAGCAATTGTTTTTGTGTTTGGAAAGTTCAAGCTTAGAGCCTAAGTAAACAAATGAACATAGTTGTGGCAATATTGGAGGCTTATAAGAATTTCAGACATATAAGACATGGAGAAGAATCAGTAACTTTTACTTGTTTTCTGTAGTCCACTTATGTTGATTTTTAGGTTCAGAAGTGTCTGTAACAGAGACCTTTTCTTACAGTTAACTGTGTATTAAAAGAAGTATGTTCAAAGGAGATACAGAATAAACTTTTGAAAGTGCCACAGTCACTCACAGTGTTAAGGAGGTTTGGACTGATACTAGAAGGCAACAGTCAACTGCTTCTACATAATCATAAGAGGATAATGCACTTTCAGCCTTGTAACTTTATGTGTGTGCATTTCTCCCAAATGAATTAAAAATGGAGGAGGATTGCAGGATCTTGGTAAGTTATGGAGAGCACAGTAAATAACTGATAATGAAACACAAGTTAAGGGCACATGTCCATGTGATCTGTAAATGAGACTGTTTTTCTGTATAGTCAAAGCAAAATGTTAAATCATGCTGCTGTGAAGAAGGGCTGTTTTCAGTAGCCTTCCAGGTAAAGTTATGTGCTGTAAAGACAGTTTTCTAGGGAATTAGAGCAACTACGAGGACAAAAAATAAAAAACAAGCAAAAAAACAGAAAAAAAAAAAAAGACTTAATTGCTGCCTTTAAAAGTGTAAGTTATCTGTCTGGGTAATGCTGCTTGGAAGTTTCTGTGGCAGTTCTATATATATTCATGGCTGTTATCCAGTCTGAGTTACAGTAAAATAAGGAAACCATCTACTTTTGTTATGTGAAAGTTGTTGTCTCATAGCTGTTTTTCTTCTGCATTTTTAGGAAAGCAAAAGTGTCCTTTTATTATTTATTTCTTTTTTATAATTAGCTAATAAGTCAGTCTGTACAAAGCTGCCTTCCTACTGCTCCTGTATTCCTATCGTTTAAGAGTAAATTGACAGTGTTCAGCCTCTGCTGCTCTGTTCTGACCATGAGCCATCACACCTGTCTCATCCTCCTCTCCTCTGCCAAACTTGCAGTCATGTTAAAGAGTGCATAGTGCACAAAAAGTAATTGCAGTCGTGTATCATGTTTTTCACATATTGAAAATTTTCATATATTTTTCTCTCTAGAGTTTGTTGTCTGCTTGTTTTATGTGCCTAGCTTCAAACCTCTCTATAAAAATCTGGTTAGTTCAGGAATTTTCTCTCTCATTTGTCTTGCTGCACCCTCTCCCATGGAGTGAGTAACTGTACTGAGGAT